GTTTTAATACATTATATACACTATTTTATATAGTAAACTATGTAATAATATAAAATAATATTATAATATATGTGTGGAATAGGTCAAACAAGCTTTAACAAAACAAACTCACCATAGTGTTTGGGAAATCTTATTTGAGAAAAAGACACCATGATGTTGTGTTTTATAAGAAAAACACCACAAAAGAATCATCATGGTGTCCAAACATACTCTTAGACGCTGGAATAATCATTGTCTGTCAAATTAGCTGTGGGATTTGCCTAGCATCTTCTGCTTGCTGAGTGAGCTTTTGTCTCTTGAAAATACAATTATATTATCTTCCATATACCGAGAAATGATTTTTCGGATGCATCCTGTCATGAGGCGCTTACATGTGAAGTGAAATCGTCTAAAGAAAAGTCAGCAAGTTTAAGTGAGAAATCTATAATGATATGGTTGAGTATCCAAGCCTTGGATGGCATATGACACTAGTAGAAAAATGGGCATCCTTGACGGACTTTCCCATCAGGGATGTCAAATTTCCCGTCAGGGATATGTATCCTTGACGGCGTCCCGTCAAGGATACGTCGTCAGAAAAAGTCCCGTCAGGGAAGAAACATCCCTGACGGGCCGCTGTCAGTAATAAGAATTACTGACGGCATCTTCCCTGACGGCTCCCGCCGTCAGGGATGTTGAAATATCACTGACGGCCGTCCCGTCGGGGATGTGCATAACATCCCTGACGGGAATGCCGTCAGGGATAAACATCCCTGACGGCATGCCCGTCAGGGATTTTCATAACATCCCTGACGGGCATGCCGTCAGGGATAAACATCCTTGACGGCATGCCCGTCAGGGATGTTTATAATCACCAAAAAAAAATTGTACAAAAAGTATCCATTTACATATGCATCTGCAAGTCCTAAATCAGCTTGTGTAGCAATCTGTAAACATGACGAGTGCTAGTAAGTTGCCACACTAATATCAGATGCAAATTCATAATTGTTGCTGATTTATGCCAAATGATTGAGGACTTATACAAGAAGTTACACTTAAAAAAAATTACAGAAAGGGGGGAAAACCTTCCAGTAGAACAAAGGAGTGTGAACTTTCAAGATGGATTTCATGTGACTTTTCGTGTTGATTCCTTCAAAAACAAAAATTGTACCTCCTTCTTCTAGCAACCTGCACAAATTAAGTTCTCATGCTCTTTTATTTGTTAATTTAATTTTGTAAAATTTAAGCAAAAAGCACCATACCTTTAGGTGAAAGTACTATAGTTTCACAATGTTTTATTGGGATGACATGAATTTACTCCTTTTTTAGTTGCTGGAACACTATCAATTTACTCATCTTTTGCCCTGAATTTTTTTCAAGCTCAAGTGAAGCTTTTGATGCTGCCACTGAAGGAACAGGATGACTTGTCCTCCATTTAAGTTCAGTATGCTTAGGAGTACAGGGAGGATTGAGAGTCACAAGTAAAGGAGGTTCAGTTGGACCAAGATTCTACAAAACACAAACGAAATTCAATTAACTAAATTGTACTGTGTATGTGGACGCTAATTATGCATCCATCATATATCTCTTCTGAATTATCTACCAATAACACGTGACAAGCCTGCCACCATAAACCAAAAGTTTCAAGACAAGTATATCGAAGTATTTTTATTGTGTCATGCATATGCAAGCAAATGAACTCAAGTATATGTACACAAGGAAAGGTATAAATGCACATTATATGAGGAAATTAGCAATAACCATATCCATCTGGTCGTTGTCTAACCCATGTTTGTTTATGCGTGATGCAGTTTTTGTAGATGTATCAAGCCTGTTATGCTATTGCTTCTAATTAGCATATTCATTTATCATCGTTGTACATGAAACAAAAAGATACATGGAGCTAAACTAGTTGCCTCCATAAGCAGTTTTCACCTTTTAGTCTTCTTCCATAGGAACTTCTGGGAAATTCCATTTGTCTTCTTCAATTTTTTTACAGATAACAGAGACTGGAGAAGGTACGCTTGTCAAGGAAAAGGAGCTTTTCATTTTAGCGTTTTACAAATGACACAATTAAAACAATTGCGACCGTAAAATTACTTGAACTCCATGATGGAGGTCAACATTCATAATGGAAGATCAAATGAGAGAAAAGAAATTCTCCAATTTTTCATTCATGATAAGAGAATATCAGACTGTCAGAAATAACATGACAAGCTCATCTTATAAAATGGAAATACCTTGTATGAGCATGACAATTCTGGCTTGAACATAACAATAGGATTTTTGATTTTATGCTTCATGTGTATGTCCTTAGTTTTAATGATTGTCTAGAGCTCTGATACTTTGGTAGTAGATAATTTTCAACTTCATTGATAATATCTTTGTTATTGATGATACCAGACACCTAAGAAGAATTTACTTAATTAATGTTGAATCCTATCAATGACAATGAACCAACAGAATCACATGATATCGAGATGACAATAAAACTTCGTGCGCTAGTCGTCTAACTCCCAAACCCCCCCCCCCCGCCCCCCCCCCCCAAAAAAAAAAAAAAAAAAAAAAAGAAAAGAAAAAAACATCAAACACACACACACACAAGCCAGGGAAGATAGACCATATGTCAGAAGTTCTGCAAGTGAGAACTTACTGCACTGATCATTTATTTTATATACAAACTAAATGTGACCCTCAAGAGTATAATCTATCAAACCCTGATACAAAGAAAAACAACACCTACAAAGTTGTTAACATAATATAAAAGTAAAAGTCGCACCTTGAATCCCATTTTGTTGTCAAGACAAGCATGCCAGTCTGTTTTCATCTCTTTTAACGGAACTTGACCATGCGGCCTGAGATAAGCATTATGAGATACTTACAATTATATATCTAAAGAAAAGAAATAAGTATTCTTGATCCCATGGGCACACTGTTCCTTTCTATTATCTTTAGAAAATTGGCAGCAAATCACATTGTCACATTTCCCCGAAAACATGACTGAGTACAGGATACTACATGAATCCAACAACAACAACAATGATAATAATAGTTTACATTTTCTATCGATCTGTGATTAATTTACAAGCAAACAAACCTCATCAAGAATCTCGGCGGATGTGACTCCAGTCTCTTCTCTCAATTCTCTAATTGCAGCACCTCTTGGATCCTCCCCTTCATCTACACCGCCCTGGATAATAGATACACACAAAAAAAACATAAAATTGGTAATTTTAATTCTTTTCTTAAGATTAATCGTATATAAAAATATTTTGTACAGACACCTAGAGAAATCACAATCACCTGAGGCATTTGCCATGCGCCTGGGATATCAAGCCTCAACGCCGAAAAACCCTTTAANGATTTGGGAAAGGCGGGAAATTTTTAACGAGGGGAGGGGGAAAATTTCGCCAGCGAAATTTTTGGAACAACATCGCTGACGGGTTACCCGTCAGCGATGTTCATATCCCGTCAGCGATGTTTACATCGCTGACGGTATCGAAAAATTTGTGACGGCAACATCTCTGACGGTTAATTCATTTTTATACATCAAGCATTTGTGAATTCATTTTTATTTCATTTAGTTCATCCTGTGCCGTGTTGTTTGGCTTTTTTCTTATTGGGATTGTAAGAACTTTCTCGTTCACATTACATTGCAGGCAGCTAATCTCAGCTGGGCAAGGTTTCCCTCTATTTGAAATCTATTTCACTATAAAGGATGGAGAATACAAGAAACAGGTACCTTAGTGAGAAAAGCCGTTCATCTTCATCATGCAGTGGATATTAAGATTGTCCAATTCTTTTGCCAAATGTTTAACTGAATGAAGTCATCATAAAGTGCATGTGATGTAAAATGCTTTAGAACTTTAATATGTCTCAGTAAATGGGAGAATGCTGTTACTTCTTTGGATATCATCATTCATTTTTTCAGTATGCCATTGTAGAGATATGCTAGTTTGAATGCTTGCAATTTTTACTACATGCTGCCAACTTTTAGCTTTATATGAATAAATTGTAATAAAATGCGTTGTACAGTCGCGCATCTGCTTAATGAGAAATATGCATGCTCTTTAGGCTGTCTATTTGAAGAGGTGGAGCAGAAGTTCTGGATCTCCAAAGAAATCAATGCAAAAGTCAGAAGCTAGCAACTTAAGCCAATCAGACAGCTCGACTGATGAACAAGATATATATACTGACGTTATAAAAACCACTGAAGAGAAAGATGATGATTCTGATGTTGCTGACGGATTAGCGGGTATACAAAATGTTCTACGAGACATGATTCCTGGTGTGAAAGTCAAAGTCTTAAAAGTTGTATCACCAGGGAAGGTAGACAGAGATCTGATTGCTAAAGTTGTTGAACAAATTATGGAGGATGGAGATGAAAGCAGTGATGAAGAGTTAGAAGGTACAGAAATAGAAGAAGTTAAAGCAGATAGTGATATTGAAATTGAGGAGGTGGAAACAGATGCTGAAGATGTAGCTAGCGATGATACGGAAAACGAACACGAGATCTCAGTGAAATTTGTAATTGGTACTCTCATGCAAGAAATGTCATCAGACCTGCCTCCTAAAGACGTAGTTCGTGTGCCGGCTAATCTAGAGAAAAGGGATCGATTGTCATTTTCATTTTCCATAGAACAGGATGATAAGGAAACCAATATGAAAGGGAAGGTTCTGCAGAAAAGAGCTGCTGCACTTTCAGCACAACAGAGTTACAATGTCATGTCTGATCTTGCAAAAGTCTTCCGTAGTAAAGAGAAGGTACCCATGAGGGTGAGTTAATTTTATTTTACTTCTTTTTTTGTTAACTTTTCAAAGCTAATAAAAAAGTATCAAGAAATTCAGTAGGTCCATCTAATCAAGTTGTTGAGCTTTGTATTTATTCAAAGGCTAATCATGTTGATGTTGACTTGAGGGAATGTCCTTTCGTTTTTTTAAAGCAATTGTCCAAATTTAGTTTTTTCTGTGTGTTTAGAAAGAGTGATCATAAAACAGTATCTAAGCCGGAACAAACCTTACTGCATTAGTGCTGAATTAATACTGCAAGTCTGATGATGTAATTGATTGAGTTATCGTGTCTTGTGCAATTTAGAATACCAAACTCCTGCGGTCTGGATCTCGACTTTTTGTAGATCAAGGAACATACCTTGTTAATGAAAAATATAGAGTATACATACCATGTTAATGATAAATATAGAGTACTTTTAAAAAAGCTACATAAATTACTTTCTTTATGAGATATAATCTTTACTGTGTATTTTGTAGGATATAGCTTTATGATTTCATGCAAGAGAAAAGCCCATAGCAGGAAGTTAATCGGATTCAGTATGGTTTTTTATTATTCTCATGATATTCCAATCAGACACTGGATATAAATCATGTTACTTAATGGCTTTCATTAGATTTTCTTGTAACTCTTCCCTCATATATGTTTATCAAAATAATTCCTCTTCGTTGTCTTAAGACTTTCCCCATCATATTGGGTCAGTATGGCAGAGAAGTTTCCATGGAAGATTTGACAAGCTTTTACAAGCCTCTGTCGAACAGGCATCAACCCTCTCTTAGGTGAGGCAAACCTTGGAATCTAAAGTTCCAGTTGACATACTCTATACTTTTGTTGGATAGCTTGGTAGTAAAGTTTTAGGAACAGCTTGCAGTCTTTTCTTTTTAAAACTGTATTTATATCTGACCTCATTTTTGTACAAAAAGGCTTATGTGAGACCATCATGATCTTAGTTGGTGGTTTGTCAAGAAATAATATTACAATAGCTTTGTACTCTTATGCTGGAGATATGTCTAATAGACTGTAGGTATCCTTCATCATTTTTCATTTCATTTTTTATTATATTATAACACCTGATACATTTTGTTAAGTTCTTGGAAGTCATCCATGAGTTAAAGTTAAAACTTCTTTCAAGTGTATACTTTCTCTAGGAAAAGAATTACAAATTTTTGCTGCACTGGTCCAACACGTGCCTATTGTATATCTAAATAGTCATTCTTACTCGTGTATCAACATTATAATTTATTTATGCAGGTACTGAAAGATGTTGGAGAGTTGATAAGTCTGACCATGAATCAGAACCAAAATCATCAATTTTTGTCTGGATCAACAATCTTCAATCGTATTGAGATACCATCCACTTCAGATCCCCTTAATGGTATGTTGGTGTATAATACCACTAGTTCACTTTATACTTTTTGTAATTTTGTTATTTAACCTTGAGCTATTAAATTTTTGAGGAAACACACTAAAGTATATAAATGAGTATTTATTTTGGCAGGGCTGTATGTGGGTGCTCATGGAATGTACACATCTGAAATCCTTCATCTGAAACGCAAGTTTGGTCAGTGGAAAGAGGATGAGGCAAATACGAAGCACATGGACCTGGAGTTCTATGAGTATGTAGAAGCCTGTAAGTTGACAGGGAGTGCATCTGTTCCAGCTGGTCAGGTATTTATATTTCTCTCAAATTTTAGCACTTTTTATAGTGATGCTTTAAACACTTGGATTTTAGTGTTTGGACTTTACAATAATAACTTTCACAAGGCACCTTTTTATGTAGTTGCCTATATTTGCAATATACACTAACTGGTTTTATAGAAATCATGCTCCATTTTCCATTTTCCATTTTCCTTCATCAGACGTGAATGTATGATTAAAGTTTTTAGTGCATATATAATAATGCTCTAGTTCAGATTGATTTGTTCAGCATGATGTTGTAGGTGTATTTTGTTAACATTTTGTTCACTTTGATTTGGATATACTATCAATTTCGAGATAATAGACATCAACCCATTTAATTCCAACTACATTACTATGGATATCTTCTATATGTGTGAGAGCGCAATGTTTGTGCTTGTAGAGACCGTTGAGCCCATTCTGCTTTGTGAATAAGTCTTCCATTTTGTAGTGTTTATCACAGGTGATATTCACTGTTATAAATAGTGGTAAATAGCGGCGCAATAGCGATAGCGTCCCTTCCCGCTATGCTATCGCCTAATAGCGGTGACATATTGCGGAATATACGCTTTTCGCTCGTAAAAGCAGCCAATAGAATGCCATAGCGGTGAATAACGGGCAATTGCAGGTAAAATTCGCATATTGACCGCTATTTCAAAGCGGTTTTAGGTTTTTTTTTTTTAATTAAACACGACCCTGAACCATTGCATCCCACTACCTCCTGCGATTTCTGGCATATTCTCACCGCCTCCCACAACTTCCGACACCTCCTTCAGCACTTCCTCTCACCTCTCACCTCTCACCGTGAATCCCGCTACTACAGTCCAGTCACCGTTCAGCTTGTTTTCTCAAAGATGACGACTCTTTGACTCCTCCTGTCGTCTTCGATATTATGAGACGGTTACATATCTATTTTATGTTTAGGATCTCTTTAAATCATCAATACATACTTTTAGATTTTTCTTTAATTTTTCATATTGTTTTGAATATCTATACATATCTAAATTAGACCGCTATTTGACTTTGCGCTTTTTACCACTCTTTTACCGCAACAGCCCAAAATATAGCCTTAGCAATGCCTCACCGCTATGCAACGCTATCCGCTATCGATAACCTTGGTAAAATTCATCAGACTATATTGCAATCTGATGACTTGTTATATGAGGATGTCAGGAAATGTTGTTTCGTCACTTACATTACCATTATGACGCTCATTACCCGATTTAGATATATGGTTAACTGGACAGGGATATATTTGGTAAACATTTAAGAAGAAAGATTACAGTTGGAGATAGAGATATAAGGGAGAGTGCATGGGAATTAAACCTTATATATGGCAGGATTTGCAAGTGTAGACTAAAATGCTATATCTACTTGGTATTGTAGATCAAATAATTTATATTCATTGAACAGTTTATTTCAGACTCCAATAATCTGCCTTTTCCTGCCTTAAATGTGTTTTTGTTGTTCGCGCATCTGTTAACTTTACTAAACACAATAGGTTATTTCAATCTGCAATGCGAACACTTTCTTTTTACCTGTCGACTAAATTGTGAACTAAGATTCAGTTGGTACCTTAAAGCTGGGTAAAAAAATCAATTACAAAAAGGAATTTAGATTATTAGCCTTGTAGTGTGTAAACCCTCTTGCAATCCTGTAGGAGGGGCTGGTGTTCATATCTCACACTAATCATTTCTCCAAAAGAAAAGTCAAAAATTTCCTTGGATGTTTTATCTATTCTCTCTTTTTTGATTTACTATTTTGGTAATGGATGATGTCTACTTAGTCTTAGGCTTATTTACTTGAACATACTGAAATTTTTAGCTGCTGCATGAAGACATTATCTTCTCTTCTTATCTGGAAAAGTCAATTTGGCAGGTATCCACGACATCAATTTACATCTTTGATGAACTAAGTTTGTCTAGGACCTAGAATTAGGGGGGTGTAAGTGGATTGTATACGGTTCGGATATGACACTTATCATATACTTATCCGCTTTCTAAAACTGATACGGAAACGATTTTCCTTTGACAAGAAAAAGTCATAATCATATCTACAAAAAAGGAAAACAGATCCAGTTTGGATATTAAGGAAATGCAAATGACACAGCTGCGGATATGAATCAAATACTTGGCAAACAGATTTGGATCAGGTATAATTAGAATATCTTGCTCTATTTTCCCTCAAAGAGATAAAACATGACTTAAGATTAAAAATTACAATATATTGACTGCAATAACATTTTAAAATTAATATATGATGTCTAATACAACCAAGATAATTCAATTTTTAAATGGTAATAATCCAAGTGCATTACTCGAAGGACAGTTTTCTTGATTATCGTTAATAAAATAATTGGATTATATTATAACATAATATTGACCAAAAATAAAGTACATAATGCACAATTAATTTACTTCAATATAAGTACAATTCACATAATCTAGAAACAAATGCACACATCTGAAAACACAATTATCATCGAGAAAAAAACAATATCTATATCCGTATCCGAATCCATATGCAAATTCATATCCTTATCCGTATCCAAAACATTATCCAAATCAATATCCGAATTTATATCTGTATCCATATCCGAATTCAAATCCGTTCTATTCTGAATTCATATATCCATGTAAGTATCTAAAATTTTAGCCGATATTTGTATCCGACATGGTTCTTGGGAATGTGCATGTATGTACTTGGTAAGCGTCTGTGTCCCATGCACGTATGTCAGAGGACTGAATTTAAAGTACCTATGCATAAGATCCAAGTAATAGAATAACACTTCATCTCTCCCTAGAGTCATTAAGTGACCAAATATCTTCAATGTTGTCCCTGCTTATTGTTTACTTTAACCAAATATTTGAACTTTTACTTTGCATATGAGATCTATATGCATAGGATACAAATAATAAATTCCATATCTTTCTGAAGTCACTAAGTCGTAAAAAGCCCACATTTCTTCAAAATTGTCCAAGCTAATTATTTGTTGTGACAAGTAATCTTTGAATTCTTTACGTTGCATACATCATCAAAATTGTATATGGGAATCTCAAGCACTTTTTTGTGTTCCTTCTTAGCATTGTTTTAAATATCCCCGACATGGTCTGATATATTCCCCGATATATCCTTTTACAGGGCTTGCCGTAACCGATATGGTCTTTAAATATCCTTTACCATTTTTTGGCTATTTTGAGTGATAAATCCCCGATATGACCGATATATTAGCCGATATGTGGACCATTATATCTTTTTATATAGCTTGTTGCAAAATAATATACCGTGTTTGAAATTTTTGGGCGAGATATCAAGGCTTCCCCATTATATCAAATGACATTTTGCCCTAAAAAAAACAGATCGAATGTTGCAACGTTGCTTTGCACTTTTGTTTGTTTTAGAAGGTTGATTAGTGATCATAAGCATATATTATTCATATTTTGTATGCTTAAATTTTATTACATATGTTGAGATTATATTTTAATGCATTACACTATGTATGCAAACATTCATTATGACATTCCGATATTTACCACATATCCCCGATATTTCCCCGATATCCGTAATCCGATATGAATTTTGGCCATCCGATATTTCCCCGATATCCGATATTTAAAACCTCAAGTGCAGAGGTTAGTAATCATTGTCCACTTGTCCTACACACAGAAGACTATTATTTTAATAATGTAATCTCACAAAGATATAAGATATTTTCTTTTACTCGTCAGACTAGAAGCAAAAATATGTGGACCTTCTCCTATGAAACCCTTGGAAAATCAGTGGAATCAAACATCATTTCACTGTTCTTGAAAGTTAAAAAATATCCAAACAGGAGTACTAGAAGGATCAATAAGGGAAGAGAAGCATTTCTCTTGTGAAAAGGCTGAGCCTGTAGGGTTGTCAAATGGGTGGTTTTGGGTGGGTCATAAATGGATGGGCATGCTTATGCCCATTTGCCTATTTATGACACATTTAGCATTTGCTAAATGAGTCACTTCGCACCCACCCATGTATTAAATGGTGGTCCATGGGTGACCCAATAACCCATTTAGCTATGGTGCTATTATATATATAAAAGTTTCCCAGTCTATTTGCAAATTGGAGGGCATTCTTGTAAAATTTTGAGAAGCTATTTGCAAACTTTGAGGGTTTTCTGCAAATTTTTGGGGGGTCTTTTTACAAATTCACGATTCGACACAGTCGAACTTCGAAAACGACTGAAGATGCGGTCGAAAACGACTGAAGATGCGGTCGAAGGCGGTCGAGGCGGTCGAAGGCGGCTGAAGATGCCTCAAGAGAGAGAAGGCGGTCCTGTAGCCCTAGTTTTTTTTTCTTTTATCGACTCTTTTCTTTCACCGGCTTCGTATAAATTCTCTGAAAAACTTAGCAGCGGTCAAATGAGTTTGGGTTCTGTGAAAACCCAAACCCAATAAATCAAAACAATGCTTTAAACCGAAATCAAGGGATATCGGTCGATTTTTCAAAGGTGAAAAATCGGCCGACATGCCTGATTTTTCCCCGACATCTCCGATAAGTCTTCCAAAACCGATACACGACTCAAATAAACCTTACTCATATCGCTAGACCCCTCGATTCGACATATCGACCGACATGTCACTGGGATGGGCAATTGGGTTTGGGTTAGAGTTAGGATGTCACCCCCAGGCTGAGGGTAACATGATAGTGGTAAAGACCAATAGCCTACTTGCATCAGAAGCAACTTCGAGAATAGTTTCGTAAACCTCTAATCACCATTGTAAGACACAATTAATAAAAATAAGCATTTTAAATAAGCATTTTAAAACCATTTTAAGTTTCTTCCTTTGCAAGCATGTCATTGTTCTGAGTGGGATGATTGGGCAGTGCTAGCTAGCTAATTCTTTTATGTGACACTTCTTGCACCTTTTTTTTTTGTTTGTGTTGGGCAAAGACCGATCACTTTGGACTGGTGTGTGAAAATTGATGGTGGTAATTTGTTGATGTTTGGCATAAAGGTGGGTATAGTTTGATCACGTATCTAGACAAAATATTCGATCCTATAAATAATGGAGAGGTCCCTACCCCATATGATCAACAAAGAGCTTCGTCTCATCCTTAGCTATCTTGTTTTGCCATGTCATTGGAAACTGTAATCACCATTGTAACACAAACTTAATTAAAATAAGCATGCTACTATATTTTAGAACTAGTTTTAAATTTCTTCTTTTGCAAAGATTTCACCCTTCGGAGTGGGATAGTTGGACAATTCTAGCTAGCAAATCCTTTTTATGTGACACTCTTATCAACACTTTTTTTTTGTGTTGGTAAAAGACCCATTAATCCTGATTGCAAGGTTTTAAATATTGGATATCAGGGAAATATTGGATGGTCAAAATTCATATCAGATTGCGGAGATCGGGGAAATATCAGGGATATGTGGTGAATATCAGAATGTCATATCATGTGTTTGCATATATAGTATAATGCGCTAAAATGTAATCTCAACATACTTAATAAAATCTAAGCATGTAAAATATAAATAATACATGTTTAGGATCACTAATCAACCTTGTAAAACAAACAAAAATACAAATCAAGGTTGCAACATTTCATCTGATTTTTTAAATGCCAAAAAGTCTTTTGATATAATGGAAAAATCATGATATTTCACCCAAAATTGGCAAGTGCAGTATATTGTTTTGTGACAAGCTATATAAAAAGATATATCGCCCAACATATCAGACATATCGGGGATATATTTCCTAAAATAGCTAAAAAATGGTAAATGATATTTAGCGACCATATCGGTTGCGAAGAGCCTGTAAGAGGATATTTCGAGCGATATATCGGGCCATGTCGGGGATATTTAAAACAATTCCTAATTGGTTTGTGAAAATTGATGATGTAATTTGTTGATGCTTGGCATAAAGGTGGGTAAAGTTTGATCCCATATCTAGATAGAATATTAGTTTTCTCATTGGGTATTTTCAATCTTTCTTCTGCCTCTTCATGCTCCCCCCCCAAGTTGTTTTATCTTTGCTTTGATTAAGGTTATCAATAGCAGAGAATGCCGCATAGCGGTGAAGTACCGCTAAGACTATTTGCACCTATAGTGACAAATAGCGCATAGTCAAATAGTGTTGCTGATGGAGAGAGCTTTAGAGATGGTGTAGGTAGCACTGGAGATGGTGGATGTGCTGGAGGGAGTACCGGAGATGGTGGGGGCGGTGGAGGGAGCACCAGAGATGGGGAGGAAGTATCAGAGAGAGAGGGAGAGAACTGGCGGCTAGGGTTCTTTCTCTTTTGTGGTTGCGAATCAAAGACAGGACACACACAGAGAGAGAGAGAGAGAGAGAGAGGTGATAGGGTTTTAATGATAAAATGGGTCAGGTTTGGGTATGGGTCAGGTAAAATATAAAAGTTATTCATTAATGATATGTTTGGAAGTTCACTTAGGGAAGGGGAAGGAATGAGAAAAGTTCCCCTTCCTTCCCTTCCCCTTGATTACACCCCAATTTGGGGTGTAAGAATTTGGCTCAAATTTTCCTCCAATTCCCCTCCTCTATATTCCTAAATGGAACTCCCAAACAAGGTTAAAATTAGATTTCTCTTTCCTTCCCCCTCTCTACCCTCCATCCAAACATGGCATAAATAAAAGCATGTTTTAGTGATTAAAAGTGTCATTCAACGCTTCTAATTGGTAAAACCCGCTATGACACGCAATCATGAGTAAATAGTGGTTTTTGCCTCTATTTGCTACCCGCTTTCGCTGATAGCATAGCGGTATTTAATGACTGTCCAATCTTTCCTAAGCCGAAAAATGGTGCCAAAATCATTTGCAGATGCTATTTCACTCTGGTACCTAGCCTCATTCATGAATTAATTAAACTAACATACTTTAGTCTTGTTCAAATTGAGTAATTGAATATTGAATTTTAATGGTGGATTACCAACTGTTTTATTTTGATGTCTATTAACTCCATTTTGATTGTATTCTCTTCATTAATAGATGATAAAGCAGCTGACACAAATTTGTAAGTATCTCACTTGTTATATCATGATATTTACGCAGGTTGCTTTTCGTGCCAAAATTGGCAAGCAATATCAGTTGCCGCATAAGGGTATTATACCTGAGGAATTTGGCGTGGTAAAATGCCTTAGAAGAAAGTATAAAAATATTTACCCATTTGACATTGCACAGAGATGCTAATTTTTGTTTGTAATCAGATTGCTAGGTACAAGGGGCAAGGGAGGATTGCTGATCCTGGTTTCCGAAATCCTCGTTGGGTTGATGGGGAGCTTGTGATTCTTGATGGAAAGGTAAGCATGTTCTGTATATAAGATGTAATAGTCTTCTTTGAATAGGCTCATGCTTATGCACATGGAGTAATAGCCTTGTCCGAATGTGAGTGTGATCATAGAATCTTCATTGAACTTGTATTTATCACTGCGAGTTTGTTGCTCTTTCACAGTACATCAGAGGGGGTCCAGTTATCGGATTTGTTTATTGGGCTCCTGAATATCATTTCTTGATATTCTTCAACCGGTTGAGGCTTCCGGAGTAGATATCTTCTGGTCACAGATAGTTGAACGATGCATTGATTTCATAGTTGAAGGTAGTTTCTTTCTCCTATACATTCATTTGTTACTCTACTATTATTAAGGGCACTATGTTAAGCTGTTACAGAATTTGACACCAAATCACATAAACTGTTGTTTTCCGGACTCTTCTCAATGTTTAACGGTGCTATTTAAGTGGAGTCGTGTATTCTTACCACTGGCACGCCACCCCCCCCCCCCCCCAACAAATCGGGCAAACATACCCCCTCTTTAATGTTTTTTTTCTGCTCAGTGTTATCAAATGCGCGTATCTCATTGCACCCCATGTGCCCAGCAATGCGGGGCGGTGGTGAAGCGCCCCTCATTTGATGTGGTAGCGCCTTTTTGTGCCTCACAAGAGCTCTGCATGAGAACGCATTGCACAGCGCATATTCAAGGCATAGTCTCGTATATTTTTGTTCTTAAAACATTTCAATCAAGTCTTTACACTCTATAACCCATGTTCTAAAAAAAAAAAAAAAACCCATCATGCTTTTTTAGCAGCTCAATTGAGAGTTCTAACTCATTCTCGTTTGCTATCTGATGATGCTTTGATATTAGTCTTGCTTTGGCTTTTGATTAAAAAAACTATGGACTTCGCTACTATGTTGGGTGTGCTAGCATTATGGATGAAGACCTTATTTTGAAATTTGGTAGCTGATATTGTTTACCTTGGCATGTTTTTTATATGAAAATTCATAAACATGTTTTTTCGTGCTTGATTATCTATCTTGAAAAATTTTAAGTGCGGTGTGCGCCTTGCTTCGCTCGGGCGTGCGCATGACATTGCGCCTAGTGCATATGTGTGTAAAGGGACTTTGTGTCCTGTATTTTGCCCCGCGCATTAATAACACTTTACCTGCTTTCTTTGTCCCTTGAAAATGCTTCTTGTTACTTTCTATCAGCCTATTTCCAACTCCTTCAATGATAGTTTCATAGTAATCATAGACGAACACGCCTATGTATGTATGGCTGATGGCCTCACTGGTAGTGGTGTTATCTTCCGTTTGCTATGAACTTGATGTTTGAGATGTTAATCAATTTGTGTCATCAATTGTGAATTTTCAGATATAAACCGAAAATTAAATCTTAAGGGTCGTATCTTAACAAAGAACTGTGTAAGCAACTAAGAAGTTGCGCGTAGCATGGGTATCTATGATCTAATGTAAGCTGCACTAAGTTGGCAATTTCCTCTTGAAATATTGTTGCAGGAATTTGTTTCAATTTAGCACTTGGATTTATTTATTCCTCAGAGTTGGACTGTAATTTCCTTTAGATTAAAACAAACTTTTACTTCACTTACAAATTTTCTAGTCTTTTCTCACTAATCTAGAAGCTTTGTAGGATGGAAACTAGCGTTCAGGGTTATGTTAAAGTCCCTCTCTTTCCATAGTTTTCTTGACAAACAATTGGTATGAAGGAAGAAAGGGGTCGATATTAGCTGATAGTTGACTATGAAAGTTAATCAATTTATTTATGGCACTTAATGCTATACAATCAACCCCATTTTGATGGGAAAAGGCTCTGTGATGAAGATTTTCTTAGAAATATTGTTGCTCCCCAATTTGTAGGGAGATGTCATCTTTGATGTTTGGTATATTTTCAAAATTGCTCATTCATGCACGCACGGTCTAATATGATTAATACTGCACTGACTAATATGCCTAATACTGCCTTCTAACAGTACAGTTTCTGATGTGCGCGCACACACTTATATGACTAATACTGTCATCCTGACGTTATGGTTTCTGAGATAGATCAATGAAGCACAGAATCAGCTCATCTTAAACTGCTGGCTTACCAGAGAGACCATGGTTTGTGATATTTTGTGGTGGGGGATTTGAAACTTATTCAGCCCATGTTTTGTAGTTCCAAGAATCAAGTGCATGTGGAGTTGTTCTTTAAACTCCATGCAGTACGTCTATTGTATGGAAAGCTTGGTTTGAATGCATTTATTGGATCAGATCGCTCTCAGTTTATTTACAGTAACTGCACCGTACAAACTCAGAGGTTTCAGCGTTCCGCGTCATGTACAGTATCAGTGGACTTGCTGACTGCAGAAAGTTGTACATTGAGCTGGAAGAGGATGTTTTCATGCTAGCTATGAAGCTAATCTATATATATATATATATTCTAAATGGCTGAATTCTGTATAACGGGAGATTGTAGTAATATATGTATCTAGAATAGTTATCAATGGCTCACAGGTGTCCAAGTTTATTATTGTCATCAAGGGTTTCAAGTGTACTCATCTTATTTTTCTGGAATCCCGACTGTGCTTTAACTTTTATAGTTGTACACTATGAATATTTGGTAGACTAATCATAAGCCATGAACAGAAACACCAAATTTAGGTGGGGTATCGGGCAAGTTTAAGCATTGATCCCATTCTTTTCTCAAAACCTGCTTAATTCACCGCAGTTTTGAGCTAGCAGGCACAGTAGCAATCAACTGATTGAATGTGGCACATTGAGTTTGCTAAAGACAAATAAATCACAAAATCTGTGTACACAAATAGTAGGTATTTCACCCTCTGCTATCGAAGTGCATCTCCCTCTCCCTCTCTGGCTCTCGCTCTCTGCCTTTTTTAAAATTTTTTTGGGCAAAGTGCATCTTGTTACCCTCTTGATCCAGCCAGTATCAGATTATCTTGGATTTTCGCATATCCTCTTACTCTACTTTTTTGCTTTTTCATATTATTTTTCCTAATTAACCTTTATTGTTTTTGAGGAAACCTTTATGACCTCATGAACCAACTTAATTATACTTTTGGTATTGATTAAAGAACTGCAAAACAATGAAAAAGCCTGACGTGGCAACGGCATTTCTAAAGACATAATTAAGTTGTAGTTAAAATGAGCACAGTTCATATGCACATAACCATGAGTTAAGAAATCATGTTTTCCAAGACAATTTTTTCCACATGAACAGTATATGTTGAAGATTTTTGCACAATTGATATAAAAGTGCAGGGGTTCGTCTAGGAAAGACGATTTTTGTCCATACCCTCACTTGACAAGTTTCAAAACAAATGAGACTAATTGCACGGTTCCATCTCAAACAATATTAAATGGTAATTAAATAGCCGGTCTCTATCAGGCCCATTTGCCTTCCCAGTCGCCCAAAATCAAAACTCACTCATGAACCTTGTCGACGTCGAACTGGACGCCCAAGCCCAAGTCCTCATCATCTCCTTAACCTGTTCCGGCGAATCGGACGAAGCCATCCCGTACGAGTTCCACCCGTTAACATAGACCAGCGACCCTATCTCCACATCGACGAATCGGGTCCCATTCCCAGCGACGACGGACATCTGGGGTTGCAGCTATGGGATCGGGAATCGGATCTGGGACCCGCCGCTGCTGCTGTTGCTGTTGCTGGACCAGTTTAAGTAGCCAATGGTGACGAGGAGGAGGAAACCGAGGATTGTGCAGTGGAGCCCGTCCTTAACTGGTCTCACTGTTGGTGGACTGGGGTCTCGGTCGTCGTTTCCCTCGTTTGCTAGCGTGGGGAGAATTTGTGGCTTGATCCTCTGTTTTATTTGATTTTCCTAAGGGTCCTGAATCTCGAATGTTTGGTTTACTGGGTTTGTATGTTTATAAACCCAAGGCTTTACGCTAATTTAGTTTTAAACGGATCTACGTCTTAAATCATTCCTAAATCTAAAACACTTATAATGAATAATTTTTAAAGCCAATTATATAGCAATACAGATCCTCCAAAAGTTTGAAAAAAGCCCCAAAAGCTTGGGAAAAATCCCCTAAAGCTTGCAAGTAGCCCCCTCCCAAAGTTTGCAAAAAACCCCCAAAACTTGCAAAAAAGTCCCTAAAAGTGTTATAGACGAATTTGTTATAGTTAAATGGACAAATGTGTAATCTGTTTATTAAACGGGTGGGCAAATACTTACCCATTTAGAAAACGTTACATGGGCCGTAAATGGGTAGATGGACAAAATATGTTCGCCGATTTATAGCCCGCCTATTTATAGCCCAAACCCACCCATTTAACACCCATAGGTTCCTAACATGAGTTTTTCACATGAAAAGTGTATGTTGGGACACGACATGCTTCAAAAGTGTGTAGGAGTTGGTCAGAGGAGCCTTCATATTTTGGAGCGTATACACAAAGTTTCCAACCTTCTATCAATGTAAATACTCTTATAAACAAGAAAAAATTGTGTTGAGGCCCCAAATAAGAGAAGTTTGATATGCCCTAGCTCCCTGTAGTTTCATCTTTGTGTATAAACCCAAAATACAATGTAATAGTGTGTTCAATCCTTTTTTTCTCTGTCAACTAAGGAGGGAGGGACGGACGGACCTCTAACAACTAAGGAGAACTCAGAAAATTTAAACATGCCCCTTAGTGGTTATCAGTTGCCCATTGAAATAGGTAGCTGCACCCGCTCTCAAATCATACCACTTCCTCCCCTCTTCTCTCTAAGCTTCACAGGAAAACGAAAAACACTCCTACTTCCTCCTAGATCCGATCTAGGGTTAGGATTTTTTTTTTGTTGGAAAATGGTTCAAATCTCCACAACAAACCCTGATTCCTCTAATTCTGGAATGAAGGACGGGAATGGTGATGAATTTGAAGTAGTTCACCACACTTATCGGCCGGTGCAAGATTAGGAATCGTTGACGTTGAACGACGACCGACAACACTCACCTTCGAAGAGTGTTAAAGACCCCCCCTCGCCATCGAAGGTCGACCATGGACCCTTTGCTCTCTCATCCCCCGTTGTGCTTCATCTACCCATGCTTCATCATCAGGAAATGAGAACACTGATAACCACGCAGACCCTCTTAGGCATGCAAAAGGGGCTATCGCGTAGAAAAAAGAACAAAAGAGGATGTAGACACATGGGAGAAGTAAGTTTACGTTAAATTTTGTTAAAATTTATTTTGTCAAAACTGTGAAATATGTTATCAGAAAATGTGAAACTATATTAGAAAAGTTGTCTATATTTTACTTGGAAAAACTATGATCGTTGCATAGATGGCTAAATGTGTAGTTGTATTGGTGCATTATGAACTATGTGCCCGGGTATGTGATAGTTAACATATGGATGTTGCATATGAATGTCTGTTTGTTATGTTCCGTCAATATACATGTTAAAGTGTCTAAATTAACTGTTAAGTATGTAAGTTGGTTGTTAATATTAGTATAAGGTATCTAGCTTTACACATTATATGTTAAGTTTTATTGATGGATGTCAATTTTAGAGAATGTCTGTTAAGGTTTGTAGCACAACTGTTAAATTTTATTATTGGTTGTTACTATTGATTATTGGATGTTAAATTTAGATAGATGGATGTTAAGTTAAAGATATAACTGATAAGTTTTAATTGTAGATGTTAAATATGTGCAATTGTTGATTAAGTTTATGATATTTACTTTCATTGGTTGTTTATACCATTTAGTGGTTGTTAATCTTAAGTGATTTAAATTAATTATTATAGGAAAAATTTTGGTCATGATGTGGTATTTAGGCCTACTACTAGTTTTAGCGATTATTACAACTTTATGAAAGTACTTGAACTGAGGATGAAGCAATGGCATTGGGATGCATATGAGGGGTGCAACATTCAGCATTACATAATATTTAACCCCCCTAGCGATAGATTGAACCATACTTGAACTTATTTTGAGTCATTATGTAGGTGGTGAAGTGACTTTTTCTCTACCCAATGTTAGCAGTAAAAGAAAAGATAGTAAAATTTAATTTGGACTAGGTTCGTGATCACACTAGCTTTCCAATTAATAGAGAAATAATTTATAGCAATAGAGATCCTAATAATAGGATTTGGAGGGAGTATTTTGCTAATCATTTACTAGATAAAAGGTTCCTAAAAAATGAGAAAGATAAAGATAAGGAAGCAACAAAAAATATGCGAAGATATGTAGAAGGATTACTTGAATCTCTTGTTAAGAAAAGAAGAAGAAGGATAGCTAGGATCTTGTGTTGCTGCAGATTCTTTATAAATATTTAATCATTTGGTGCCGCAGTAGCGTGTAAGATATTCCTAGACTCTTGTTCAAGTATGTTGATTACATTAATAGAGTAAATAATATGGCATGAAAGAAATTCATTATGATCAGACCAAGAGAGACGTTCAAATTGCTAGAGAAAGACTGAACAAACCAGGAGTTACGTATGTGTGAGGATGTAATGTGTGAGGATGTATGCCTTTGATTACTTTAAGTTATGTTAATTCTTTTCTCGTTATCGTTAACTAATGCATGTGAATGTTTCTGTGTTTATTGTGAACAATAATTGATGCTTGCTAATCTTAATTGGTTCATGTTAAAGAAACTTAGTATATGTGATTTTTTTTAATATTCTATTAACTATAGTTGATGAATACCAATATTTACAGGTTCAAGTTAAAGAAGATTCATATATCTTAAAATCTGTGTTTTCTTGTGAACTATAGTTGTTGCAAGCTAAGTTTGAGTGATTCATGTTAAACTAACTCAATACATGTTAATGTTTGCTTGTTTATGTTAAATAAATGATTAGTGCATGTTAATTGATAACTATGATTGATTTATTTGTAGCTTTGATACTACAAAATGATAATGATTAAAAAATATGCTCAAAGTAATAGATTCAACCATCACTAACTAACTAGGTGATGATTGAAAAGAAGTCTGGATCCCTCAGGAAGGGAATAATAGCTGGAAAAGCTAGAAAGGCAAGCATAGCTGTAATTTAAAACCTATTATTAAATTTAGCCCATGGGTTGAAAAATATCCACTCAGAAAGTCAAATATGAGGAGAGATGATACATTAAGATTTAGAAGAAAAGAGATTCCATTACTCCCAGTAAAGAAGTAAAATTTGAAATCTTCTCCCAAAAAAGTTATCAAGAAACAGAAAGCAGAAAGGAGGAAAAAACATGTGGAGGAAAAGAAGAAATCCTTAATAAATTTTGTAAGCTTGTTATCAGCTATTTAAATCTTATTTAGTACATGTTAAGTGTCTCTTTATAACTGTTAACTTTATCTTACTGATGTTTAGTATATCGCATAAACTATTAAAATTTTCCTTTTAAGTGTTAAGTTTAGCATTTTAACTATTAAGTTTAACCTAATGCATGTAAACTATAACTTATTAACTATTAACATTTACTTATTACATGTTAAATATAGTTGGTTAACTACTAACTTTTATATTTTTAAAATTTTTAGATCATATCAAACGCTATTGATGATGCATTCGAAAAGAAAGATGAGATTGAGGAGTTACCCATTAGTAGCAGCTTGCTTTCTAGAGAAATGCAGTTAAATAA